CAATATTCTTACACGACAGAGCACTACTCTGCCATAAGGGATACACTTTAGGTTTTCGATGCATGCAACCAACATGAGTATAAGTAAGAAAACGAGTGATTGGATAAATGACTTGGACCACTACTACGAAAACCCCAACTCCCCTAGAATTCAGATCCAGCCTTAACTCAAAGACACCAAAATCTTCATACTGTCTTTGATTGTTTGGAATTTCGCTTAGTTTTCTAGATAAAGTTAGCTTTTAGGTGGAAGCTCCACTTTGTAAAGGGAAAGAATTCCCCTATTAATAGGGCTTTATTTAAAAACAAGGGTAATAGTCTCAGGGAAGTTTCAGGGTCAGTTACACACACAGTCCAGTCTCCTGAGGTTTAGTATACATAAGAGTAATTTTTTAAAAAGTAAATTTCCCCCTGGGCATGGTGACACATGGCTGTAATCCCAGCACTCAAGAGGCTGAGACAAGAGGATCAGCACAAGTTCAAGGCCAGTCTGGACCACATAGTGAGTTCAAAGCCAGCCTGAACTAATAAATGAATAAAAGATTTCTGTACTGCCACCCCTCTGGCTGTTGTAAAGGCCAAGTGATCTCAGTAACTTGTGTCATATAAATACAAGAAAATGCTATTTGTTAGGTTTTTGGTGTTAACTAAGATCTTTAATTTTAAAAAAAATCTATTCACATTCATTAATCTCATTTATTGAGAAAGAAATGGGGGCTCATATGTAATAAAGGTTGTTATGTGGTCAAACTATAAAAAAGATTTTGCAAAATTGCCGCTTAATCTGAGTTTTTGTACAGAACATCCAATTCCTGTTTTCTGACTGATGGTTTTCATGGGTCATCAACTTGGTAAATAATGTACAATTATGAGTCGATGTTCCATCAAAAAGAGTTGCTTTGACTCCAGCAAACTTAATGAACTCGTGGTTACCTCCCACAGCATTTCTTTCCTATAACCTTTGCTGAGAGCAATGCGGTCTCTGCCGGGACCTTGGAGTGGGGGAAATGTGACTATAAAGGGCAGCAGGAGGGAGGTTCGGGGTGATGGAACTATTCTGAACCCTCATTGTGTTGGTAGTCACAGGAATGCTGATACATATTAAAATTTATATACTCTTCACAAAGACACAAAGATAGGCAGTTTACTGTTGATTTAAAAATAAACTAATTGGCCCAACTCAAGGTGACTGTCTTCCTCACTTAGGAAACAGCAACCCAAAAGGTTGGGGTCTGCATAGAGTGAGAATGAGGGTCAGAAATCCACGGAAGACAGGCTGGAAGGCAGAATGAGAACTTGCATGCTGGGTAAACATGTTTCGAGCACTGGTTCATTCCTTTTCCTCTGGGGGTGGTGTTTTCCTGAAGGTCACCTTTATCTACGTTGGAGCTATGTTAGCCAGCTTTCTATCACTGTGCGTTGTCTGCATAACACAAGTCAAAGGAGCACGAGTTTGGTTTTGGTTCACGGTGTCAGAGGTCTCAGTCCTTGGCTAGCTGGCTCCACTGCTTCTCGGTCAGTGGTGAGGCACGAACACCACGGTACAACACGGCAGAGGGGAGCTGCTCCCCTCCTGGTGGCCAGGAAGCGAAGAGGCAAGGGCTGAGGACTAAGCATACTTCCAGGTCACACCTCCGCGGTCTGCTCCCTCCAACACAGTTCCCGCCTCTTATTTCTACCATCTTCCAATAATGCCATCAAATTACAATCTTGTCAATGGACTAATCCACTGATGAAGTTAGTCCTCATAAGCAGATCATTTCCCAAACGCCTTCCTCTAAACACACAGGTGGGTGGAGGAGAGACACTCTGGATTTAAAACATAACAGAGGCATCCTTCTTCTCTTTCCAATGGTAATGCCACACAATTAGCATGGGTCCATCTTTCAGTGATAAAGGGAATTAAAATCGAGGCTACTGCATGAATTTATAGACAAAAGCTTTACCTGAGAAGGAGAATAAAATGGGAAGGGTTTTTGGTTTGAGAAGAGCCAAAGAAGGCACAACTCAGACCGATCTATTTAAAAAATGGAAAAGGCCAGCTTTTACAGGGTTGCAGAGTGGCTAGGGTTGAGCTGACCATGATCTCAGTCTTGGTTTTTGCTGGCTGAAGGCTCTTCAGAAGTCTTTCTGATCTTGGGGCCAATTTGTTTCCTGAGAGAAACAGTTTTTGTTCAGGGCAGTCTCAATTTTGCTGAGGTTCTGCTAGAATCTAAGGTGACTGCAAGTTAGGGCAATGATTGGAGACTCTGAGGTGCTCATTTCTAGGGATTCTGAGTGGAACACTGTGAACACTGGCAGGGGAATGTCCTTGTAAATCTCTTACAACACGGTGTCCTCAGTCTTGAACAGGGATGAAACAGGTTAGGTCAACTTAGGGCTGATAAACCAGTTGCCAGTTTTTAGACAGATGCTTCTTAAATGATTGCCATGCCTGTATGTTGAGGGTTGAGCTGGAATCTCACTTAACGTCTTAAAGTGATTTTAGAAAAAAAAGATGGATACAAAATGAAGGCAGAGATGCCACACTTTGTTCCGTTTGGGGGGGGGGTGTTTTGTTTTGTTACTCCTTGGGCATTTATAGATAGGCCCCAGTGAAGAGGCCCAATTTTTAACCAAAGCAGTTTTTAAGTCCCTGTCTGCCTCAGAAGGGACCAGATATCATATATAGGTATAGCCTGGAAGTTTTCCTTTGCTCTCTGCAATGAACCCCAACTGTATTTCCCATCTAGTTCGTTCTTGGAGACACTGGCTTTAAGGATGCACTTGGTGACTGAGGTCCCTAAGACTTCCTGGCAGGATTATGGAATGAGGGGACACTCATACTTGCAATGGGAGATAGGTCCTCACTGTTTCCTAGGTGAGGAAGACAGTCACCTTGAGTTGGGCCAATTAGTTTATTTTTAAATCAACAGTAAACTGCCTTTGTGTCTTTGTGAAGAGTATATAAATTTTAATATATATCGGCATTCCTGTAACTACCAACACAATGAGGGTTCAGAATAGTTCCATCACCCCAAACCTGAAGGCCCAGGTGTGCACTTGCCTTTTGGCCTCTTAGTAGTTTCTATTTCCCTCAAAGTATCCCAGTTCCCAGTAATCGCTTCTACCAAACTTTCACCGTGGGTTCACTTGACCTTTATTTTGTAGATTACCTCAACTTGTTTTACTCCGAACACTTAACTTCCAGAGCAAAGCACCCGTCTCAGTAACTGATATCAGTCAAGACCCAGGGAAAAGGATTTTCCACATTAGCTCAGGCCCTTCTTTCTTGCAGCTCGAGATTAAATTCAAGACAAATCTGTAATTTGTGATTTTCTAAGAGCTGTCTTTAAAAGCAAATATATCTTTGGGTTATTTTGTTTTGTTTTTGTTTTTGTTTGTCTTTTTGAGACAGGTTCTCTCTATACAGTTCAGGCGGGCCTTGAGTTCACTTTGTAGCCCATGCTGGTCTTGAACTCAGAACTATCCTCCTGCCTCAGCCTCCTGAGTGCTGCAATTACACATGTGTGCCAGCAAATAAATGTTTTGTTTGTTTTTTTGTATGTGGTACTGAACCCAGGGCTTTCCCACATGCTAGAGGAACATTCTACCACTGGACCTCCCCACCAGCACTGGTGAAAATAATTTTCATACCATATTTCATTTAACCCAGTATGTCAAAATATTACCATCTCAATCTTTATATGAGAACTATTAATTCTATTTTGCACCCTTTTTTGTATGAAGTCTTTGGGCATCTCACTTTGGGCTGCATGCACTCACAGTGGCAACACAGGTTGAAGACAGCACATGGCTACATCAGTCTCTTTTTGAAAGCAGACTTTCACTCTGATCACTCTTGAGTGAGCCTCTGCCTAGGTTCTTCATTCAGCATCCTGCACTGTGCTAGAGGCTAGAAATACAGGCATGAACAAGATCTGTTTGATCCGAAGCTCATCTACTGAGGTGAGAGATGCTGAGACAATCCTAAAGTCACGTGAAAGAACCACAGCATTGGGGCACACTACCGGATAAGCAACTGGACGAGGAAGGAGGCTATCAACAGAGTTTTAAGGGAGCTGCAGCTGCTTTCCAAGGGTGTAACATTAGCTCTGAGAGGAAAGGGGCATTCGGGGTGCAGCTTGACCCGAAGAGCTGAAATGACGGAGGGTAGGGTCCAGGCCTAGGGTCTCTGAAGGGTACAAGCTTGGCCAGAGGAGGGGGAGTGGAAAGATAGGCAAGGTTGCACAGAAAAGAGTCTGTTGTCCAAGTCAAAACATCTGGAAACTGGCTTAGATTTCAAATGAAATGCAAACAGTCCCTGGACCTAAGCTCCAGCTGTGCTAGGGTGGCTGAGACTGGAAGGAAGAATGAACCGGGCAGGGTCAACTTCTGTTTACCACCATAGCCCAGGGCGTGTCACAAGCAGGGAGGAGAGAGAAGCTGCCGGCAGCCAAGTGCTTTACGGTTCCAGTAAGGTCTCCAACGTTCTGGGTGCTTCTTCCTGGAGAAAAGGAGGCTCCTCGCTCCCCATCACCCAGCACGGCCGCGCGGCGCAAAGGCATGTACCGGACGCCTGGAGACATAAGAAGGTGCCCGTCCCGCGCCACGCACCAAGCGACGCGGCCCGCGGCAGCCTGGCCCAGGGACTGCGGCGGTGCGGAGTCCCCCTGGCGCTGGGCGCCTCCTAATCTCGCAGGGTAAGCCGACGCGTGACCGCTAGGCGCGCGGCTCGAGGAGGTGCCACCAGGAGAAGGAGGGCGCTGCGCAACACTAGCGCGGGAAACCAGGCTCTGCGACTTGGACCCCACCGCCGACCCGGCCCCGCGGCGCCCCCGGCAGGCAGGCAGGCAGGCGCGGCCCCTCCTAGCGTGCCTGCGAGAAGAAGGTGGAGCGGCCTGGCTCCCGCAGCCAATGAGACGGGCGGGTTCCTGGTCCGATCCCCGGCGCGCCTCGCCATTGGTCGCCGCCCGGGTCTCGGCCCACCGAACCTCGGCGACCCAAGCCAATCGCGAGGCGGCGGGCGACCCCGCGGCTCCCCAGACGGCGGCGGCGGGCGCTGAGCGGAGCGGGCCTTGGGCTACCTCGGCGACCGGCGACGCGAGCCCTGGCCGTTCCCGCGCGGCGCCCGGCACAATGGAGCCCGCTGTGTCGCTGGCGGTGTGCGCGCTGCTCTTCCTGCTGTGGGTGCGCGTGAAGGGTCTGGAGTTCGTGCTCATCCACCAACGCTGGGTGTTCGTGTGCCTCTTCCTGCTGCCGCTGTCGCTCATCTTCGACATCTACTACTACCTGCGCGCCTGGGTGGTGTTCCGGCTCAGCAGCGCGCCGCGCTTGCACGAGCAGCGCGTGCGGGACATCCAAAAGCAGGTGGGCGGGCGGGCGCCGGGAGGAACGGCTCCGGGAGGCTGGAAGGGGAGCGGGAGAGGTCGGGGACGCGGGGGAGGGGTACGGTCGCACGAGCCGGACCGGGGAGGTGGAAAGCGCAGGCCTATCCGCAGGGAAGGAGATTAGTGATTAGTTGCGGGCCGCAGTAGAGAGGAGCCTGGGGGCTGGATTAGAGGTTAAAGTTTATTGTGTGGCCACAAGGTGCTTTGGGCGCTTTTTAGAATAAAGAAGTAAAGTGAATAAAGTCCAGCCCCAAACTGCAGGCGGCCCTTGGGGAGGGAGGGCCCGCTCCTGACAAAGGCGCCCTAACTGGACATCCTGCCTTGTGCCACCCTCCTCAGACTGCCCGGGACCCCGCTGCAGCTCCTGGCCCGGGGCTGGCGTGGGCTTCTGGTCTAGGCAATGTCTTGGCTCTTTCTGCCCCTCCTTATGTTCCTCTGGCATCAGGTTGCCGAGTGTCTGTTTCCTGTTGTCCCTGTTCTGATGGCCACGCGCTGGCAGGAGCCTGAAGATGATGCTACAGGACTCCCGTGAGGGACGAGACTGTAGGCCGGGGGCAGGAGGGTCTGCGTCCAGAAGTGCTCTGCACTGCTGCTTTCGTCTGGGTCCGGAGCCTTGCTTGCCCTCTCCCCAGCTGCACCTCTTTCCCAGTTCTTCCTGTGAGCTTGGATCCTCGATTTACCTGCAAGACTCCTTGATCAAACTGTGAGCTCCTAGAAAGCTGCAACTGTTTCCTGATTCCTTGGCCCATGAGACCTGGCTAGAAGCAGCTTAGTGAATTCTCATTTACCCGCACTAGACAGGTTTTCTGAAGACAGAAAACACGGGTCCCAGAAGACCAACCCCACCCCTGCCCTTGCCTTGTGCCACAGCCTGGCCATTGCTGTCTAGGCCAGGGTGTCTGTTACATATAATCTTAGTAGCAGTGCTGATAGGTCTTGTACCTGTTTTACTAATGGGAAAAATTGAAGTTCAAACTGTGAGTCATGTTGCAGGACGATGGAACTAGTAAATGGGGTTGGAGCCCTGGTTAGCTTGAGGCCACCGCCTGAGCCCTTTTTTTCATTCCCAGCCTTTCCAACCTGTAAGTCTAATTCTGTTGCATAATATGTGGCTTATTTTGCCACCTGCCTGAACAGTGGCCCATTTTTCTGCTCCCTACCTCTCTTTGGCATGTGCGTAGGGCCAAGGGTCGTGTCTCTTGGCATTGCCTCCCCACCCAGAATCTTTGTCAACTCCCATCAAAATCCAGTCCAGCCAGTGTTTTAAGAGTTTCAGCCTTCACTTCTAGCCTCACTGCGGCACTGTAACCCACTCACACACACCTCTGTCCTGAGTTCCGTTATGGACTGCTGAGTTGGACAAAACCAGGCCTGACTGGTCCTGAAATCCTCACCTCATATCCTTTCACCCCCAACTCATGGGATTCCCTTTCTCAGTATCCCCCCCCCCCAGCTTGAACACCAGCACTTCATGTGGCAATCCCAGCGCTTATTGCAAGAAAGCCCTTCCCATTGTTGAGCTGTTTGCTGAACCAGCTCCACTGCCACCTCTGCCAGGAAACCCAGCCAGGATTTGACAGGACTCCTGGCTGCAAGTGATAGAAACTCAGTTTAAAATGACTGGAGCAAGGAACTTTACTGGCTTCCTTCATTCTCAGAGGGGCTGGCTCTTCCTAGCTCAACACTTCCTAGCTTAGATCCATCCAAGAAAGGACCTTCCCTAGAACTGGTTAGATCCTGTATTTGACCAGGAAAATAGAACCAAACCTCTGTCATATGGCTCCCTCTTGGAGTAGAATAAGTCACACCTGGGCCAAGAAAGATGGGGTAAAGAGATAGGTTAAAACAACAAACCTTCCCGGAAGGTGTCCTTCTCTTCAGGAATGGACCACCCATGTTCCCGATGGCTTGTCATCCTCTGGGACACTTGTTCTCTATTTTGTGCTTTGTGCAAATTCAAAATTCTGCCAAAGCTCCTCTTCTCGTTGGCTTCCTGGTCCTTCACCTTCTGTCCCCAGAAGAATGTTCATGAGTGCATGCGTGCTACTACTTGGGATAAGGCTGTTCACAAAATAAGAATAAGTGTTAGCTGTTCTATGGACAGCTGAGCTGTCCTCCTGGGCTTGCAGGCAGTCTTGGCTGTGCATCTTTCTCTGCTAGTTATTGGTGTGGTCTTGAGCAAGTTACATTACATCTTGAGTTTCCTCATCTGCAAAGAGATCTTCCCAGGGGATTGTTATAAAGATGAACAAGACATTATACAATAGATGTCTGGCATGGCAGAGGCACCCAATAAATGACAGTTGTTGATGTAAACCTTTCCTGAGCTTCCCAGTTAATGTTTCTGAAACACTCTGTTGTATTCTAGCTGTTTCTCCGTCATACCTAGTGGAATGTGGTGTGTATGTGTGTATTTGTTTGATACTGGGTATTGAACCCACAACCTCATGTTTACCAAGCAGACACTTGTGCCACTGAACTAAATCCCCGGCTCCCTACCTAGTGGTATAGGATCGAGGCTTTGCTTTTGGCCTTGCCAGTCAGGGAGATGCCAGAGGCTGAGGCCAGAGTCCACATCCGTTTCGTCATTGTGTTCCTCACAGTGTTTAGTGGAGGCATCCTTCCAAGCTTCTCCAGGAAGCAAGGTTATGAGCTTCTCTGACGGTCTCTGTTGGAGCCAGCTCAGCCTCTGTCCCCGGTTGCAGGTGCGAGAATGGAAGGAGCAGGGCAGCAAGACCTTCATGTGCACAGGGCGCCCCGGCTGGCTCACCGTCTCGCTGCGGGTTGGGAAGTACAAGAAGACACACAAAAACATCATGATCAACCTAATGGACATCCTGGAGGTGGACACCAAGAAGCAGGTGAGAATACACAGTTCCCGGCCCAGGGAGGATTGCAGCACTGCCCCCGGTATGGGGGCCTCCTTGCCTCTTCCTCCATATCCTGAAGCAAGGCCTGAGCTACTGTCACAAAGGTCTGCTAGGTTTTCCTGTAGAAGTTTTATAGAAACCATAAAATAAAGCTGTTTAGGCCTGGAGTTTTCTTTGTGAGCAAATTTTTTTAACTGCAGATTCAGTTTGTTTAGTAATAAATATAGGGCTTTTCCAATTTGTTTCTTTTTGGGTGAGCTTTGGTAGTTAGTGTCTTAAAGGCATGTATTCCTTTGAGTGACTTGTGTGAATTATTGACAGAGTCCGTGACATGTCTGCATTGTCCTTAACGATCTGTGGAATCTGTAGCTCAGCTTTGACACTCATTCTTCTTACTGTTAATACGTATCTGCTTTGTTTTCTTCCTGATCAGTTTGGCTACAGACAAATCGGTTTTATTGACCTTCTCAAAGAACTGCATTTGATTTCATTGATTTTATTTTGATCTTTGTTATTTCTTTTACTCCTGGCTTGCTTTTGCTCTTGCAGTGATGAGGATCAAACCCAGAGCTATATATACAGAGCACTTGCTCTATCTCTGAACCACATCACCAGCCCCTTTTTTACAGCCTTTTTATCTTTTTCTTTAATTTTTAAAATTTTTATTTTATTTTATTTTCTTGAGACAGGGTCAGAGTTGCCCAGGCTGAGCTCTGAACTTGAAATCTTCCTTCTTCAGACTGCTGGCATTAAGGTGTGCAAGCCCACACCTCACTCTGGCTTTTTAAAAAGTTTGGGTCATTAGTTTAACTTTTTTTTCTAAAAAAGATAATATTTAGTGCTATAAATTTGCTTAGCACCGTTTTAGAGACAGCCCACAAATTTCATTGTTTTCATTTTTATTCAGTTTGAAATACTTTCTGATTTCTTTTTTGATGACTCCCTTGATGTCTGGGTTGCTTAGAAATTTGTTGGTTAGTTTCCAAATGTTTAAGAGTTTTCTAGACCTTCCTAACGTTTTCTGATCTGATTCCAATTGTGAGAATTTTATTTTATTTTATTTTATTTTATTTTTTGAGACAGGGTCTTGCTACACAGCCCAGGCTGGCTTTGAATTCATTGTGTAGTCCAGGCTGGCCTCAAACTTGTCATCCTCCTGCCTCCGCCTCCCAAATATGGGATTATAGATGTATGCCACCACACCTGGCTAGAAAACATAATTTAGATTAGAAAGCTTTTCGACTTACCCATACTTAACTTCATCGCCCCAAATATGTTCTGTCTGAATTTATATTCTGTATACCTTATATGTATACATATTATATATGTATATCTTGCCATTTAGGGAGACATGTTCCATAAATGTCAATAGTTCACATTAATTCATAGTCATGATCAAATATCCTGTCTACCTATTTTCTCTTATTTTATTGATTATAAAGAAATTTCTGCCTATAACAGTGGATTCATTTATGTCTCTTACATTTCCATTAGTTTTTGCTTCATGTATTTTGAAGTTCTGTTTTTAGGCTTAAGATATTTATGTCCATAGCTCAGTTCACTGATACACTATTTTTTTTTTAAAGTTCTTTTTTTGTATTTCACTTTGGATGGTATTTAAAGTTCTTTTTTTCTGTATTTCACTTTGGATGGGATTTAAAGCCCTTTTTTCTATATTTTACTTTGAATGATATTTAAGTTCACTGATCTTTTCTTCTGCAATATCTAATTGTTCAATTTAGTGTGCCTTTCATTTCAGACATTGTGGTTTTCATTGGTAGAAGTTTTGATTTGTATCTTTCTAATATCTTTGTAATGTCTCTTAAGTATCTGAATATAGAGAATGAAGTTATTACAAGAACTGTTCAAAGTTCCTATCTGCTGATTCTACCATCTGTCAGTTCTGGATCTGTTTTACTTGGTTGATTTTTTTCCTCATTGTGGGTCAAGTTATCCTGTCTCTTTGTGTGCCTAGTGAAGATTGATTAGATTCTGACCTTGTTCTTTGCTGGGTGCTAGATATTGTCATACTTCTGCAGGCCTTGAGCTTTGTCCCTGGAGATAGCTAAGCTAGTTGGAAATAGTTCAGTCCTGTGAGGCCGATTTTCTTAGGCGGCACTGGAATGGCATTGAATTTAGGGTAAGTCGACCCCCACTATAGAAACAAGACCATTCAGAGAACTCCACCAAAGCCTTGCAACTCATGAGGTCTTCCCGGCTTCTGTGGAAGCAAAAGCCATCCTCCATGAGCCCTGCTGCCCCCTGCTCCTTTGCTTGGTGGCGCATTCCTTAGCCTTGGCCTCAGCTTTGGAAATACCCACCGTGTAGACGCCAGTTGGTACTCAGTCTAGTGCCCCAGCAGCGCCCATCACAGTTCTGCAGCTTCCTCTCTGTGCACTGTTCCTCTCCTGTGTGCCGTCTGCAAACTCCTTTCTCCATAGTCTTCTTGGGCTCTTTTCCATCTTGGCAACCAGTGCCCAAGGCTCTGGGGGTTCCCTTCTCGGCCCTGCCTGGCCCAGGCAGTAAGCTAAAGTTTTCTCAGAGTTCATGTTTTCTGCCTCTCTGGGTCTCTAACCTTCAACCTTTAAATCTTGTGCACTATGTTGAAAACTTTTGTTTCTTACCTTTTTTGTCTAGCTTTTTGTGGTTGGTATGTGTGTGTTTTCAGACAGTAAGGTAAATCCAGTCCTGATGCTGCATCTCAGCAGGAAGAAGTCTACTTAATATCATATCATGCCCATTACACCACATTAATGCCAAGCATGATGGTGCATGCCTGCAATCCCAGCACCCAGGAGGCTGACACAGGAGGATCACCATGAGTGTGAGACATAGCCAGACCCTGTCTCAAAAAACCCACATGTTTCATAAGAAAGTAAATGATAAGGAGTGATGGTCATAGTGCTGAGGGGTTTTTTGAGGATAACACTATCCATATGTGTGTTTGTAGCACAAATTAGCGATGGAAATATATGGACATGTAGTGAAAAAAAATAAACTAAATCCACTCCATTTAAATAATTTGGAAGAACTGGAATGTGTTTTTGTTTTCTTCCTTACTTTTGCTGAGTCTTTCAAATGACTATTTCTCTTGTAATCTAGAAAAAAGTAAAGCGTTCAGTATAACACGTTTTAAAGGATGTGATTCAAGCCTCAGTAACCCAGCATCAGCATAAGTAAAGGCATTGTAGCGTTGTAGACAGGGCTGGTAATGGCTACTGGAACACCTGTGCCGTGCGCTCAGGAAGGTAGGGAATGTCACCTGTGTGCAGGAACCCTCGTCAGGCCTGGCCACCTCCTTGAGAGTTGGGTCTCCTCTCATGTCCACAGATCGTCCGTGTGGAGCCCTTGGTGTCCATGGGACAGGTGACCGCCCTGCTGACTTCCATTGGCTGGACTCTGCCCGTGCTGCCTGAGCTCGACGACCTCACAGTGGGTGAGGACTCATGTGCAAGGGCGAGAGGAGTCAGACGGTCCCAGGATCAGAGCAGAGGGGACTTGGCCACCTTCCAGCTGGTCCAGAAGTGACCAGTCTCCCATCTGGGACAGAAGTCACTCTGTCATACTTACCTAGCACCAGTGACAAAACTTCACTGTCCACCATTCTGAGAGGCTCAGGTTATCTGAGGCACTTTTTAAATTCCAGTCGGATCTATTTCCTGGGACTTTCATTAGTCCATCCCTACCTGTGGGACTCGAGGATAAGTCCAGTCCACTTTTCTTCCACAAGGCTCACAGGAAGCCTTTTCTTGTATAGGGAGTATCCCCTCCTTCAGCCCGTCCCACAGGTCATACTCCAGCCCTTCGTTTTCACTGACATCTACTTAAAACAAATGCAGATGGATTTTTAGTTTGAGCTGGCCGGAGCGCTCTGTCCACTCACTCCTGCCTCTCGGTCAAGGCCCTTGGCGCCTGAGTGAGCCCAGCCTGCTCACTTCTGCTCGCCAGATCAACCTCAGTGGGAATCTGTGCTAAGTTAATAGCCCCATGTCTGCCATCCCTGCCCTGCCCATCACAGCTCTGCCAAGCTGACACATGTGTCCCTGCAGGGGGCTTGATCATGGGCACAGGCATCGAGTCGTCATCCCACAAGTATGGCCTGTTCCAGCACATCTGTACTGCCTACGAGCTGGTCCTAGCTGACGGCAGCTTCATGCGATGCACACCGGTAAGTTAAGGGTCGGGGGATCCACCCCTGGGCTCGGTTTCAGATGTTCCTGATCACACGTACCCACAGTGCTAACAGAAGTTTGTGTGGCCCCTTCCGAGTGCTTGGACATGTTGTAAATTCTTTATATCTGTTAAAGCATTTATTCCTCCAATAGTCTCTGAGTAAGTGCTCTTGTTATCCTTACTTAACGAGTAGGAGACTGGAGAGCACAAAGAAGTTTGTGATCTTGGCCTAAGTCACATGGATAGTAAATCCTGCAATTGAGACTCAAATAACCAGGTGCCCAGATCCCCATCCTCGTCCATCTGTTACCCCAGGCTGCCTCTCCAGACTAGGTCAGGGTTAGGCATCAGAGCCCTGTGTCACACGATGTAAGGTATAACCAAAAACAAGTACACTGCTTTGGGAAAAGAGAATTCTGCCACCAGAGTAGGATGCAAATATCTGAGTCATTTTACCTAAGGAGTAGGACAGAATTAGAACTGTAAGTCAGGTCTGCCCTAGTAGATGTGAGGGACTCAGAGGTGGAAGGGCCGTTCTGGCTGTGCCTTGAAGCGAATGTTTTAGAGACCCCCTGGCTACTGCACAGAGGTGTGAGCCCCACAAAGGAGTCCTGTTGGAAGCAGTGGCCTTGGAGAAGCCTCAGTCAGGCTTCTCAACAGTGCAGAATGATTTCCTGAATGCTTGCCCGGGCCCTGCCTTCAAACCTGTTTACCACCAGACACACATTCCTGGTGATCTCCTTTTTCCAAGGCTCAGCTCCTCTTGTGTTAAGCACATGGTTGGGAGGACGAGGAGGCGTTTCGTACTTCGTACAGAGCCAAGCGCTTGCTAAGTATCTAATCCTGATCAGCTGCAGTGATCTGGACAGGACAGTTAGCTTGTGAGCCACATGCAAGATCCTTTAGCCTAGGGGTGCTTCTGGAGAGGCTCCTCCTGGCCTGCTACAGACCTGCCTGCCCCTATCCTGTCCCACACCATCTCCTTTGCCTTAGTCACTTCTCATTACTGAGACCAAATACCCACCACCTACAAGTTAAGGGGTGAAAAGTTTATTTAGCTCATGATTTGTAGAGGTTTTAGTTTATCATCAGCTAGGTCCAAGACAGGGTGTGTTGGCAGAGGGGCATTGCAGAGGAGAACCAGTTCATGGCAAGTAGAAGACAAAGACAAGCCTTTTTCTGTCCCTCATATTGTGTCTAGGATGGTACAAAACCGGTTGGAGCTGATCCAGCAATCACCCACTCTTAATCCCAGCATTGCACCAAGAATCAGTGACACACTCTACATCCGGCCAACTCTGACAAAGCCACACCTATGACTATATGAGGCTTTGATAGACATTTAGAGACAAACCATAATACCTCCATACCAACCACTAAGGTGTTCAGGTTTGACAGAGAACACACAGGGCTGGCCCACTGGCAAAGCCAAGATAGGCTGAACTTTTTTGAAAGGAGCTTTTTGAGAGTCAGAATTAGAATGGTCAAAAGGTCAATGACTTTTCTCTGGAAAAGGGAAAAGAAGGAGGTTAGAGACAGCTAACTTTATGGCCACCAAGGAGGTGCTGTGTGGAACGCCCACCTGCGGGCTCGAGTCAGTGACTTGGGAGCCTGGCAGTGGGTGAGGCTGTCACCTGCCGGAAACACTTCTCTTACCTGTCGGGGTGCTGAGAGCAGTTTGTAAAGGTTTGCTCAGCTTTGCAGGAGGCAGGAAGAAAAGGAGTGCCCTTCAGCCGTGGTGCCGGCTCTCAGCAAGTGTCTGTTCTGTGTCACAGTCCGAGAACTCAGACCTGTTCTATGCTGTGCCCTGGTCCTGTGGGACCCTGGGATTCCTGGTGGCTGCCGAGATCAGAATCATCCCTGCCAAGAAGTACGTCAAGCTGCGATTCGAACCAGTGCGAGGCCTGGAAGCCATCTGTGACAAATTCACTGTCGAGTCCCAGCGGCCAGAAAACCACTTTGTTGAGGGGCTGCTCTACTCCCTGGATGAGGCCGTCATCATGACTGGCGTCATGACCGACGAAGCGGAACTCAGCAAGGTGAGCCTGCTGCGGACCGAGGTTGGGAGGGAGCAGGCCTGGGGGCCTGCGTGGGGTTCAGGCAGCAGGCCCTGCCTGCCACGATGTCTCCTTCAGTGACGAGAGCTCATTTTCTCTGCTCCAGTCCCTCTCAGCAGACGCCATCCCTAGTTTATACTGCAGCACCGTTGTGTGATGAGGAAGCTGAGGCTAGAAGAGGTAATGGAAATTTCCATACGATGACAAAGCAAAGATGTCAGTTGTTTGTATGGTGCTTCAGAATCCAGATCAACACTCCTTTAACTCATAGCATGTAACTTTTTCATTTTTGTTTTTTGAGACAGGGTCTCTGTATGTAGTGTAGGCTGTTTCAACTCCTTGCCATCCTTCTGCCTCAGTTAGGATTATAGGCATGTATCACTATTTCTGGCACCATCCAATATTTAATAGTAAATTTTTTTCCAGTGAGGAAGGATTTGTGTAGGCTGAGGCAGGAGAATCAGTGCCAGTTCAAGGCCAGCCTGGGCTACATAGTGAGATGCTGTCTTAAAAAGCGTGCAAATATTAGCAGTGTGGTGGGGAAGACAATCTGGATTCTGAAGCACCACGCAAAAAAACAAAAAACAGAATTTGTGTGATGAGTGTGGCTCAGTGGTAGGAGACTTCCCCAGCATACATTCAGCCTTAGCCCTCCTCTATCAGTGCCTCCCCATGCCAAAAAAAGACAGAGGGAGGAAAAAGATTTGTGTTTTTCCTAAGAGAATTCGAGGGCATAGACAAGGAAAAGGAAAGAAAAGACCACCTACTGCTGTGACCCACAGCCAGGCTGTAAAGGTGTTTGCTGTGTAACCGTGATGAAATAGGTACGGAAAAGGTTGATGCATATTTCTTCACACACACGCAGCCAGGGTAACCAGTTACAACAGTGTGAGCTGTGCCTCGCAGGCCCCTTTCATCTTTGCTGTGCACACACACCCTGACCACACTTCCTACAGCCCAGCGTTGGACACCCACCATCTCACTGCCCAACTCACTGCTGACTGATGACACTTGGCTTTGCTTCAGTTGTTCGGCTCTCGCGCACACAGCAGCGTGAAGATGGCAGCTTCTGTGACATCTGTCCTTGCCCTTTCTAACGTAGGATGAAGTCCTGGCTCAGACACTGAGCATAGGACATGCTGGTAGCTGAGAGCAGCCACCACCCTGGACAGTGCTGCCCTTCCGTCCCTGCCAACACACTCGTGATAGCATCGCTCTTTGATTTTTTGCCAGCCTGATAAGGTTAAAAATAGAATCTCTTTTATTGTCCAGTTCTTGAGTTTCTTCCAAGGTTGAATATTTCTTTGCAGAGTTTTCTAGTGAGTTTGTTACGATCTGGGTCGACCTTCCAGACTTGTGTCGATGTGAGAAGCATGGCCCCAGGGTTTACTGCCTTCCCCACCACACTGCTAACATCTGCCCAGCTGTGCCCACGTTGGAGCGAGCTCCATAGCACTCACTAAGCCCCTACCCCAGAGTTGGAAAGTTAGGTGGTTCCAGGTTTTCCATTATTAATGAAGCCACAAACATCTTTTGTCTATAATTTGGAGCATATCTTATTGCAGAACTAATAGAGGAATGAAAGTGTCCCAGAAGACTTTTAATCTATATCTGTATACTTGGAACATTTGAAAAGCAGAAAAAGACCTGAAAGACCCCTGGAATGATCTCCTCTTCAGACAAGGAAACAAATCCAAGGGAGAGGACTCCTGGGGAACACAGAGCAGTTCTGAATCCTGTGTCTGGCTCCCCTGTGGTTAGCTCATCAAGTACTGTACTGTCCACAGCGTTGATTCCAGCAGCACTGTTAGAGACTGGAGGAAGGTCCAGTCCAGCAGCAGCTGTGACAACACTGGGCACAGAGCCGGAGTATTCTGGGCCAAGGCCTGGTCAGCATGTCACTCAGAACCTCTTATAGTGACCTGGTATCAGAACAGAGGTTTCCCAGCTCTGCTGGGACACCCTCCTAGAGGTGTCCTAGAGGACACCCTCTGTACTGTGGGCTGAGTGAGGGCTGGGGCCCTCTGCCCCAGTACGTGACTGGCAGAGGGGTTTTTTATATCTGACCTGATTCCTTGATTTTCCAAGGAGAAATCCAGGGTCTTCCCAAAAACTCCCTGATTCTGTGGCAGAGAGGCTCGGAGGTCACATTGCCAAGTGTCCCAATAAGCAAGACCTTGATCCCCCAGGTGAACAAGACTGGGGTATGAGATTTAGCAGTGGGGCATCTCGTCATAGGAGCATTTCTTCCAGACTTGGTGGTGTAGAACCCTGCCTGGGACTTTCCCCTGGACTCTGCTGTTCAGGGTAAGGACCAAGAGGAGACCCAGAGGCAGGAAGTGGCTCGCTGTGGGGGTGCTAGGGCTGGAGCTGAAGTCTGTGCTGCCCCCAGCCTCCCCAGCACCCCAGGAGAAACCAAGGATCTGGTGTCTTTATCACTTTCTGCGCTTCTCAGATTCAAAGCTCCTGCTGAGTCTGGGCATCAGGAACACCTGTATCTGGGTACCCTTAGTCTCGACTTCATTATGCAGCAGGTGCCACTGCCAGGCGTGCGGCCAGGTCTCACCTGAGTCAGCTCAGGTTGCTGTGGTTCCTTTTGCATTGTAGCTTCCTGTCCTTACCAGACAGAGGCTGTGTACATCCATGGCACAGCCAGCTGGGGCACACGGGCTGCTGGGCCCATTGCCTGGCGTGTCATGATGATACTCCCAGCCTCCTTCCAGAGTGGGATGACATCCAGATAAAAGGCAGTGGGGAGGGCAGGGGACCACCAGGCTCCCATGCAGTGGGTTGGCCAGTAAGGGACAGAGAGGTAACACTGAGCCCCGCATGCCATGCGCTGTGCTTGGCACATTCCATGTTGTCTCTTACTTGACCACCATGAGGAACAGAGAGAGTATCCCCATCCTGCCAGGGGGGACCTGAGAGGCCAAGCAGCCTGCCCAGGGTCAGCAGGAAACTATGTAGAAAGGACAAATAACCACAGTGTGCATAGGATGGTTCTGGTTTCATAAAGAACTGTGTGTTTGTGTAAATCTAAAAGGCACACAGAAACATGCGCATGCATGCACACTTTTTTTTAATGGTACTGGAAATTGAATCCAGGGCCTTTATAGTGAGCCTTTGTTTTGTTTTGTTTTTTTCCTTTGGAGCCAAGCTCTCACTATGTTGCCTGGCCTGGGCTCAAACTTCCAATCCTGTATATATTTATAGTCGTCACTTTATGTGTGAAGGAATGGGCTCATAGGTTCCAGGCTTCACAGCCAGGGAGGGATGGGACCAGGCAGGATCTGGCCCCAGCTACCCAGGACAGAGCTTATGCCTTTCCAGGGTGCCCTGCCCATGCATCTGCCCAGAGTCCATTTCATGGCTAAGGGAACTGAGAGGCCCAAGAGGTTGAGTCATCTCATGGCCCACAGCAATTAGGGACTGAAGAGTGCTGCAGGTCAGTAGCTGGAGATTAGTGCCTGCAAGTGGGCAAGGTCCTTCTGGCACACTTCCACCTCATGCCAGAAGAGGAGGAGCTGTCTGGTGGAATGCTGTGCCCCAAGGCCCGGAGAGCTGGGTCCAGGGCCAGCAAGGAAGTGCCAGGGTCCCTTAGAGCTGGGTGGTGAGCTGTGACCTCTGGCCTGGTGAGGTGGGAGGAGGGAGCTGCCCACGTGGAGCCCTGCATCATGGTAGGGCTGTCGCATTTTCACATACTGCTCAGGGAATAGGAGCAGCAGGCTGGGATGGGGTCACTCATTTCCCTAGATCATCTGAGCCAGCGGTGCAGCCCTGTGCACACCACCTACAGCCTCTGCATCTGCAGAGAGCACCATTGCACCCAGGCCCACTTGGCTTTTCAGATTCAAGGCGGTGATGACATGACAGCTCTGGAAAGCCAGCTATGCTACTGGCAATCTGTATTGCTGTCACTGCCAAGTGGCTGCTGGTGCTCGGCTCTGTGCTGATCAGTGTGGCCTCTTGTCATTTCAGCTGAATAGCATCGGCAATTACTACAAGCCCTGGTTCTTCAAGCATGTGGAGAACTACCTGAAGACAAACCGGGAGGGCCTGGAGTACATTCCTCTGAGACAGTACTACCACCGCCACACTCGAAGCATCTTCTGGGAGCTCCAGGTGAGGCCAGCTGTTGCCCAACTGTGTCCCGAGGGATCAGAGCAGACACAGATAGTGACAAAAGCAGGCTGTCACCAGGGTGCCAGGAGTGGGCTCGTGGGCTGCACTTCAGGAAACATAGACCTCTCCTTTCCTTCAGAAAGGGTCATCCTTCTGAGTAGATGGGCTCTGCTGGGCAGAGCTGGAGAGGAGGAGGAGGAAGTGGCCAACTCTGCCCCCGGCAGGAAGGCCATCGGGGTGCCCCCGAAAGGTAGACAGGAATTTGCCAGTGGGGGGAGCGGGGAGACATTGAGAAAGGTCCCTCAGGAGATGCTTGAGCAGGGAACTGAAGGTGAGGATGGCAGAGAGCCCAAGCAGAGGGAAGCCCCAGGCTGGCAGGTTGGCTGCTGTCAGTGGACGGCTCACAGGGTGTGATTCATGTGCGGTGCTGTGCAGCCAACACCCCTGTGTGCCTCCAGAACCTTTTCCTCATCCCAGAGGGAACCTCACCCCATGAGCAGGTCACTCTCCAGCCTGCCCCCAGCTGTGGCAACATTAAATTGACTGTCTGCTCGGAGGGTCTGCTCCTTCCAGATACCTCACATGAGCAGGAATTGTGCGGCATGTGCTCAGGGTGACTGGCATCTTTCATTTTGCAGAGGGTTTCCGTGTATATTTCCCATAGCATTTCATTTCTTTCCCTGGCTGGATGATGCTCCGTCGACATACTCTGCTTTTCCACACATCTGTTGATGGGCATTTGGACAGTTTTAGCTCACTTGCTCTAGCTCTCGCTCTCGCTCTCTCTCTGTCTCTCTCTGTCCTCTTCTCTCTCTATTTCAAGGATGATAAAAAAAAAAACTACAAAAAATTTCAAAACACATCAATCAAGGGGAAGCAATGGTACATACACTGCACATTGGCATCCCCAAATCATTCACCCAGAGCACAAGATGCCTGCATTCAACTATGAATAGTGCCAGAACAGATCTTTCTCTTCAGTGAACTCAGAGAAATCTGTACTATAACTGTCTGAACTATTTTTTATATACATACACATCTATATTTTTTCTCTTTAACTCATCATACTAATGAAGCAATACGATGTTTACACATGTATGTCTTATTTATTTCACTAATGAGCATGGTCTCAAGTTTCATCCATTTACCTATAAAAATCTCCAGTTTATCCTTTATGACTGAGTAGTACTCCATAGCAAAAAACTACCACATCTTTTTTATCTATTTCTCAGTCAGTGGGCATTAAGGTTGTTCCCAGATCCGGCTATTAAAAACTGTGCTGCTATAAACACGGGTGCACATATATCACTGTGGTGTGATGCTTTTAATTCTTTTGGGAAGATACTCCCAAGGGGAATAGCTGGGTTGAATAGGACCTCCAGTCCTAGTTTTTTGAGGAACCTCCACACTGATTTCCACAGTGGTTGCACCAGCCTACACCCCCACCAGCAGTGGAGAAGGGTTCCTTTTTTCCCCTACAATCCCTCCAGCGTTTGTTATTGGTTGATTTCTTGATAGCAGCCATTCTTTCTGGGATGCAGTGGAATCTCAGTGCTGTTATAATTTGCATCTCTTGAATGGCCAGTGGTGTTGAACATTTTTTCACATATTTGCTGCTTGTATTTCTTCATCTGAGAAGTGTATTCATTTCACATGTGCATTTCTGGTCTTTAAATCTGTCAGGACTGATTTTTTTTTTAAACATGTTTTCAGTGGTAATCCTTTGTCTGAAGAACAGCTGGCAAACATTTTCTCCCTCATTGTGGGTTGTGTCTTCACTCTGTTGGTGATTTCTCTTGCTGTGCAAGTTTTTTAGTAGGATGAGATTTCAGTCATTGACTCTTTGTGATAGTTCTTGTGCAATTGGGATTTTATTCATAAAGTCTTTACGTACACCAATGTCTTCAAGAATTTTACCTGCTCTATCTTTTAGCAGATTTAAAGTTTCTGTTTTAACATTTAGATCTTTGATCTATTCCTATTTTAACTTAGTACATGGTGAAAGATATGGGTCTAGTTTCAATCTTTGGCAAGTGTAGAGATGGTGTTTCTGGCACCATTTATTAAAGAGGCTATCTTTAGCACCTTTGTCAGTGTAAGGTGGATTAGTATGTCTGGAGTTGTTTCTGCATCTTCTAATCTGTTCCATTCATTTTTGGACTTGCTTTGTTTTTTGTTTTTTCCAATACTGTGCTGTTTTTATCATAGGAACTTTATAGTATAGTTTCAAGTCAGGGATTGTGATGCCCCCATCTTGGCTTTGTTACTCAGGATTACCTTTCCTATTCTAGATCTATTCTGGTTCCAAATGAATTTTAGGATTGTTTTCTCTAATTGTGTGAGATATGCTATTGAAATTTCGATTGGAATCACATTAAATCTGTGTAAGAGTTTTGGAAGTACGGCCATTTTCAATATATTGGTTGTTTCCTACCCAAGCATGAGATATCTCTCCACTTTCTAATATCCTCTTCAATCGCCTTTTTTCAGAGGACTGTAGTTTTCAATATAAAGGTCCTTTACATCCTTTGTTAGATTGATTCCTAGGTATTTCCTCTTGGGGGTATGCTATTATAAAAGATACAGTTTCTCTGATTTCTCTCTAGTGGTTTGTTATTCATGCATAGGAAAGCTATTGATTTTTAAGTCTTTTGGTGGATTTTTGGGGATCTTCTAAGTAGATTATCATGTCATCTGCAAATAACAGTAGTTTAACTTCCTTTCCTATCTCTCTTCCTTTTCTTTCTTTCTTTTTCTTGTCTAATTGCTCTAGCTACAGTTTCCAGGGCTGTACTGAGTTACTTTTATTTATTTTTTTATTTTATTTTATTTTATTTTATTTTATTTTATTTTTTGTACCAGGGATTGAACTCACAACCTGGTGCTTGCCAGGCAGGCACTTACGGTGTTGAACTAAATCCCCAGCCCCTCCAGGGCTATATTGAATAAGAGTGGAGACAGTGGACATACTTGTCTTATTCCTGATTTTAGAGAGAAAGCTTTCAGTTTTGTCCATTTAGTATGATGTTGGCTGTTGGTTTGTCATAGATGGCTTTTATCAGGTTGAGATAAAGATCATCTAGTCCAATTTTTTGTAAGGTTTTTATCAGGAATGGGTGCTGGGCTTTGTCAAAAGCTTTTTCTGCATCTACTGAGATTATCAAATGATTTTTGTCTTTGGTTCTGTTAATATGATGTATTACATTTATGGATTTACGTATGTTGAATCACCCCTGCATCCCTGGAATGAATCCCACTTGATCAAGGTGTACAATCTTCTTGACAATTTGCTGCAATCTGTTTGCCAGTATCTCACTGAGAATTTTTTTTCATCAATGTTTCTTAGGGTGATTGGCTTGTAATTCTCTTTCTTAATTGGAGCCTCCTCTGGTGTTGTTATCAGGTAATGCTTGGAATGCTTGCTTCCAGGAATGAATTTGGGAGTATTGCGTCCTATTAATTCATAAGGGTTTGAGAAGCAGTGGTGTTAGGTCTTCTCTAAATTTCTTGTAGAATTCAGCGGTGAATTCATCAGGGCCGGGATTTCCTTGTTGATAGGTTCTTAATTATATCTTGAATTTCATTTGTTGATATTAGGTTGTTTAGGATTTTTATAGCTTCTTAATTCAGCTTTGGTAGTTTACATTATCTAGAAATCTGTCCATTTTTTCTGTATTTTCATCTTATTAAAATACAAGTTTTCAAATTAGGTATAGATGATTTTCTGGATGTCTGCAGGGTCTGTTGGGATTTCACACTTTTCATTCCTAACTGCATGGATTTTAGTTTTTTCTTCCCTTTTTTTGATAAGGTTGGCTAAGAGTTTGTCAGTTTTAATCTTAAAAGAACCAAGTCTTTGATTCATTGATTTTTGTATTTTTTTTAAGTCTCCAGTATGTTAATTTCTGCTCTGATCTTTATAATTTCCACCCTTGTATGCTACTGGTTTAGCCTACTCTTTTTCTAGAAGTTTGAGGTTCAACATTAACTTGTTTATATGCACTTGCTGTTTTCCTGATACAAGTATTTACTGATATGAGTATATACTGCTTTCATTATATCCCACAAGTTCCAGTTTGTTTTATTGTCATTATCATTTAGCTATAAAAACTGTCTAATTTCTTTAAAATTCATTGCATTGTGGTCTGATAGTATGCATGGGATAATTTGAATTCCTCTGCATTTACTTAAGCATGTTCTATGAGCCAGTATAAAGTCTGTTTTGGAGAATGATCCATGTACAGCTGAGAAGAAAATGTATTCTGATGTTGTAAAGTAAAACCCTCTATATATAGACATCTACTAGGTCCCTATGTTCAGAAGTTTGATTTAGTTCTAATATTTCTTTATTGACTTTTTTTGTCTAGTTATCTGTGTTTTTGTGACAGTGGGATATTGAGGTCTCCCAGCACAATCATATTAGGGCTTATATGATTTTTAATTCTGTTAATGTTTTATATAATTGGGTGCACTGGTATTTATTGCATATATATTTTTGGTAGTTATCTCTTTCTCTTGGATTGTTCCCTTTACAAGGATATAGTGACCTTTCTCTTAATCAGTCTTGGCTTGAAATTGATTTTTTCTGCAAATAGAATAACTACCCCTGCTTTTTTCTGGGTTTCTGCTGCATGAACATTGTTTTCCATCCTTTGACTTTCAGTCTATGAATTTCTTTTTGAATTAAATGTGTTTCTTGTAAGCAGCATATTGTTGAATCTTGCTTCTTGATCCATTCTGTAAGTTTGTGTCTTTTGCTTGGTAAATTGAGACCACACTAACATTGATGGTTACAACTGATATGTACTGACTTATCCTTGTCATGTTACTGGCTCCCCCATTTTTCCCCCTCCTTCTACTTGTTGGCTTTCCCTGATGAATTCCTTCTGTTGGGGTTCATGGAGCTATAATGCTTATTATCTCTTTCTAGGATGTCTTTCAAAACATTTTGACATGTTGATTTTGTGTTCCTAAATTTCCTCAGATGTTGTTTGTCATGGAAGTATCTTATTTCTATGTCAGTTTTGAAAGATGGTTTTGTAGAGTACATCAATCTGGGTTGAAATTTGTTTTCCTTTAGAACCTGGAGTATTTCACTCTAAGCTCTTCTTGACTTGAGAGTTTGTGCTGAGAAGTCAGCTGTGATTCTGATGGACTTTTCTTTATAGGTGATTTGTTTCTTTTCTATTACAGCTTTCAGAATTCTATTCTTGTGTTGAATTTCTAGGACCTTGACTAAGATATGCCTGACTGTAGATTTTTTTATATATAATTGCTAATTGCAATTCTGTATGCCTCATTTATTTATGTCAAATTCTTTTTCTCTATCAGAAAATTTTCTGTCATGATGTCTATGAACATTTTTAATGTCATTTGTGCTATCTCCTGCTTGTTCATTGACTCTAATTAATCTTAAGTTATTCTTCTTTGTCTCATCTAGCAGCTGCTGGATTGATATCTCATAGTCCCTTAGTATTTTTGAAGAATCTTTCTTTTACTAGTCACTAACTGCAAGCCTGTCTTCAGTATCTGAGATCTGTCTTCACACTGGCCTAATCTCTCTGAATTCTTTCAGTGAAATTTTTATTCTCTTGGGTATCTGCTTGAATCTGCTCTATGGATTCTATATCTTTTGTATGCTGAGCTTCCATAATTTTCTTAAGGTCATCTATTCTTTTATCTGTGTCTGCCTTAGCATCACTAAACATGGTCTTTTAATTTGATTATTTCTGATTTCAGTTTTTCAGAGCCTCCTTCCATTGTTTTGTGGTTACCACTTCGGGGAGGCCAGGTGTAGGGCTTTCAGATTGTCCCACCTCATTGCTCTCTGGATCTGCCTTTGGCGAACTTGATGTCTGTGGTTGCATTTTAAGTGTTTTTTCATTTTTCTTTCTTTTGTTTAGTTTAATTCCTGGCATGATGCTTATAAATTGCCTATGGTGGGTTGCTCTATTTGCTAGTCTTTAGGATTCCTAGGTGATGACTGCTTCTCTGAGGTGTCTTCTAGGAGTAGCTGGTGTTTGGGTTTGAGACATGAGAAACTATTCCTTGTTCCAAGTCTCTGGTTCTTTGGCACTGTGCCACAGTATTTTCTGTGAGTTAGTCTTGGTCATGGAGTACCAGGACAAACAGCTATTTAGAACAATTATGTCAGTTTTGACTATAGTGGTACCAATGGCATCAAACACATTCTAGAGAAACTGTGCTAATCCTTAATTTGCCACTTTTATCTGTATGAACTAGGTTGGTGGTTATATAACAAAATCTAAAACCAGAAAATTATCTGCAGTATACAAGTGAGTTTGGCCCTCATTGGTTAAAATTTAAAATGGATTAAGGAGAAAAATAGAGAAGTATAAGAAGAAGAATAGATTAGAAGTAAGGTGGGAGGACAAACACGAATCACTCCAGCTCTGGGAAACCGGTACCAAAGACTGAAGGAAAAGAGAGATGAAAGGAATAAAAGATAAAAAGAACAGAGCCACAACTGCACAGAGGCTAGAAACCATGTTCACATTTACAGAAAAACAATATCGAGCAATGAAGGACAAAGAAAAGAAAGAATGAAAGGCCACTTCCAGAGTTCATTCTGGTTTCTCTAGCAGACAATTTGTGGAGACAGAGTCCCAATTTGTGCACATCTCTCCCAGCGAGCCGGCAGTAGCTTTTTGACAGGGTGGAGGATAATCTCAGCAGGCCTGCTCCAAAACCAGACTCACTGGGCTCGTCACCAAACCCAGCAGTTTCCATGGGTTTGAGCTCACCTGGGATCTGCTTGATGGAGCTGGCAGCAGTTCGGGGTTCTGAGCTCAGGCAGCCTGTCTTCAAGACGGTTCCCAGGCAATTTCTGCCTCCCACGTATAGAATAAATACACTGCATTCACTGCCAGCCAGTCTGCTGGTCCCCTCCAGTACCACATCTCTCTGCAGAGGCCTCTGGGGTCATCAGCCGCTACCATGACGTGTGTCTCCAGGTTCTAACTGCTCCTCTCACACAGTGAGTCTGGCTCCAGGCGAAGGCACAGCCAGCTACCGCCGCCTTCTTCACTGGAGTTTTTTTTACTCTCTCGGGGGGCTTCAATTCCCAGTCCAGATTCATCTTTGGTGCAGGGGGCCCACTTCACTCCTTGTCTCCTCCCGATGCTCTATTCCAGGGTCGGGACGTGACTCTCAGAGAGGCTGTTTTCTCTGCTGCTCACCATCTTGGCCTCTCCTCCACTGAACATTTTTTTTGACAGGGCCCTTCTTATCTTTGCTGTTGAGTTGACAGAGTTCTTTGCTATTCTGGGTATCATACTATCAGATACATTCTGTATGTTTCTGTTCACTTTCCTTTTTATCGGTACCAGGTCTGTTCACTTTCTTAGTAAAGCCCTGTTAATGTAGCTGAAGTCCAGTTTATGTGTTTTTCCTTTTGGTAACTTGTGCTTTTACTATGGCACTTAAGACTTGCTAGTCAGGCATGGTAGCACACGCCTGTAATCCCAGCACTTGGGAGGCAGAGACCAGGAGGATTGCCATGAGTTCAAGGCCAGCCTGGACTACAAAGTGAGTTCAGGACAGCCTGAACTGCGTAGTGAAACCCTGTCTCAAAAAGACGGTTGCCAAATGCAGTCAGGATGATCCACCCTGCTTTCCTCTGAGAGTGCTGACGTTTGGCTCTTTCACTGTGCTTGTTGCGTGAGTGATGCTGTGCGCAACAGGGGCTGACTATACTCTTCACGTGCTCACTGTCCTCCCAGTGGACACCAGGATGTTGGAAACTAGCCGGAAGGCTGCTAAGCTCAAGCCGAAGCAGAAAGAAGTCAGTGGCGTGAATTTCATGGCTCTTTGTACGTCAAGGAAGGACTTTGTTTCATTCTGTGTGTGATAGGAAATCAGGGGGGCTTTGAGCGGGAAAGTAGCATGGTCTGCTTTTTTGTTTTGAAAGATCATTGACAGTTGAATGCAAAGTGCTGGGGTGACAGGGTAGGAGTGAAAGAAGAGAAGGAAGACTTGGGTTCCTTCTCCCCATCCCAACCTTGGCCTTTCAGGATATCATCCCTTTCGGCAACAACCCCATCTTCCGCTACCTCTTTGGCTGGCTGGTGCCCCCCAAGATCTCACTGCTGAAGCTGACCCAGGGCGAGACCCTGCGCAAGCTCTACGAGCAGCACCATGTGGTACAGGACATGCTGGTGCCCATGAAGTGTCTGCGGCAGGCCCTGCACACTTTCCACAACGACATCCATGTGAGTGGCAGCAGGCGTGGCCCCAGGACTTCACAGCCTCTCCCCTGAGCCCACAGCCCACCTGCTGGGCCTGTCTGCCCTCTCGGCCTCAGTTTTTCCAACTGTAAAGTCAGGCTTTGTCCCTATTACCTGCAGAGGCTTCAGTCACTTGGCAGTGGCCCTGGTGACAAGCACCTCTGTGAACAGCTCCTGTGGGGGCATCAGGGCTGGTAACTCATGCGTTGGGCAGCAGAGCAGGGCCCCTGTGGGAGGGTGGAAGTGTCACCTGCCCAAGAAGAGGCACCATTGCCCACCTGGCCGGCCTCCCCAGGTCTACCCCATCTGGCTGTGCCCATTCATCCTGCCCAGCCAGCCAGGCCTGGTGCACCCCAAGGGAGATGAGACTGAGCTCTATGTGGACATCGGCGCCTATGGAGAGCCACGTGTGAAGCACTTCGAGGCCAGGTCCTGCATGCGGCAGCTGGAGAAGTTTGTGCGCAGTGTGCATGGGTGAGTGACTTGTCTCAAGTGTCTGTCGCCTCCCTGTGCCTCCTGGCACTGCCTGCCAATTCCTCGCTGCTCCTGTCCCTTTGCAGGTTCCAGATGCTGTACGCCGACTGCTACATGGACCGGGAAGAGTTCTGGGAGATGTTCGACGGCTCCTTGTACCACAAGCTGCGCAAGCAGCTGGGCTGCGAGGATGCCTTCCCCGAGGTGTACGACAAGATCTGCAAGGCCGCAAGACACTGAGCCCAGCCTCCAGGACAGACAGACACAGGCGGATGGACCTGCACCATCGCTTCACCCAGCTTGGCTGCTTTCCCAAACGCACATTTTCAAAAGAAACCCCTCCAGAAATCCCACCCAGAGGGCCCCACCAGTGTCCCCATCATGTGTGGGGCAGCCCAGTCAAGTGCAAGTATGTTGGACTTGGAGTCAGGCCACCCTGAGTCCAGGTCCTGGGGTAGTCACTAATTAGTGAGTGTCTCTGGGTGCATCACTTAACCCTCTGTGTTCCAGTCTCTCCATCTATTGATGCAGGTAATTATACCTGCAGGCCGCCTTCTAGGTCAGCACTTGTCACATGAAAGGTGCTTTGTACACCGTAGCTGTTACTATTTCCCACTCAGCATCACATCTGACTAAAGCGCTCTGGATTCAACAGTTGAATCCAAAAGGCCTCCCGCTAGTCACCCCGTGCACAGGTTTGGCTGGAATGATGAAGGGGATGCCCTGGAGTTGTACCGCCATTGCCTGAGTCAGCCAGAAGAGCCTCCCGCCTTCAGGGTGCAGTGGGGCATCAGTGGGGCAGGCAAGTCCAAGATGTGCTGTGCCAAAGCCCAGTCCGATCCCAAAGTTCTCTCTGCTGTCCTTGGCGACATCCTGCCCCGTGTGCTGCTGTCTCAGGCCTGCCCAGCCGTCACTGAGCCCATTGAGAGCTGTGTCCAGGATGTGACTGGAGAGGGTTCTGAGCTCTGAACTGAATCCCAGGACGCATTTTCCTTGGCTTCCCACCCCAGAGATCCCTCGTGTTCCAGGACCAGTTGAGTCATGGTGGGATGCATCTGTACTTCTCTGCAGCTGGGGGGCTGCGGTAAGGAGGACACGGAGCCCCCATCATGTGTTTCATTGAAGAGTCTCGCTTTGGGGCTGAAAGAAAGAAGCATTAGCTGGATTTCTCCTACCCTCATCTCCCCTTTTCTTTATCCCACACCTGCCCCCCAGCTTAGTTAATTTCAGTGCCTTACAAATCCTAAGCTCAGAGAAAGTTAGTTGTGTTTCCCTTCAGAGGGAAGAGAACTTGTGCAGCTCCCTCTGCCTTGCTGTCCAAGTGTGGCTGTTTATGCAGCTCCATCCTAAGATCTGCCAGCCCCAGCTAGAGACCCGAGTGATGACCTAGAGGAAGGAGCTGGGGTCCACAAGGGAGACAGAGCTGAGCTGGTCACAGCCGTGATGGTGATGCTGGACTCAGTGCTTGGTGCCCAGTCCCTGCTCGCCTGTCAGCGGGCTCTGCATCCACAGGCAGGTGTTCATCCCTCCACGCTGCAGTTTCCTCACCTGTCACCCTGGTCAGGTGAGACCTTCCTGGAGTCCTTCCAGGTAAAGTCTTAGACACCACTGTTGCAAAGCCCAGGGAACCAGCCATTGTTCATGTTGAAAGAAGAAAAATAAATGATGCAGGTGACACTTGGGGATTATCTGTCACTTAAGGTCCTTCAGTTCCAAGGCAGCTCCCATCCCATTTTCAGCAAAGCTCTTCTGGGGCTGGTCAGGAAGTGTCCATCTCACCCTTCCACTGCTAGTGTTTGTAGAGCCACCCTGTGACGGACGCTCTCCCCTTCCCCACAGGGCTGGGCTCCCTGCAAAGAGTGGCTCAGCACGGTCTTGCAGGCACAGTGTCCTTGTGGCATTCAGAAAGTCTTCCTTGCCATTTGGCGCCTGGAGGGGACAGAAGACCCTCGTTCTCTAGTCTGAAAAGCACACAAGTACTAATCTGTGTGATCCTTTGCTCGGCACTGAACTGATGACTCTACTTCATTTAGACGAAAGGTTACCCGAGCTAGTTTAATCCACCGGCGCAAGGGCTTGACCTTCAGAGCCACCATCCAGGAGGCCCTGGGCTGTAGCCACAGACGCTGGCAGCAGTGTTACCCTTAGTCCCCTGACCAATATCCAGCCTTCCATGGACCTTACCTGGGAAGGGGAGGTAATTTGGAGTCAGACCAGCCTCAGGTAAATGAGGCTTCAGCAACATCTTGCCTAGGAAAGTCTTCCAAGCATGAGCTGAGTTCCAACTTTGCCTGCAGCCTGTCTGTCCATCTCTGCAGCAGACACCCAGTGGAGCTGAACTTGGCATCAGTGGGCAGCATATAAAGAGCAGTTGTGCCTATCCCCTCCAGAGCCTGTTTCTTGCCTGCATGAAGGATTTCTGTCAGATCAGTGACAGCCATCTCCCTTGGCTGAAAGGAAGTACTACTGTTTATTAGAGAAGAGAGGTGGAAATGGTAGTGTATGGTGTGTGATTATTTTTTCATTGGTCATAAGAACCACAGAGAAAGGCATGAGTATCCCATCGGGCTTGCAGCTGCAGCAGCTGTGCCTGTGGACTCATGTTCCTGTGCTGTGGGGCTGCTGCTTCTGTGAAAATAAAAAGTCTGGTCTGAAGCTGACCCTTGTCTTTTGTTTTGTTTTGTTTGTTTGGTACCAGGAATCAAACTTGGGACCTTGTGCTTGCCAGGCAGCTACTGTGCTGCTGAGCAGGGGACCACAGTGTGGAGTCCGACCTGGGTTCAGATGCAGCTGTATCAGCACCCCCCGCTACACCCACATGCCCATGCACAAGGGCTAAGAGAATATGTGGAACAGAGCAGTGGGCTGACAAGTCCCTTTCTGTCATTGCCCAGGGTGATCCAGAATAGATGTTCCTGAGATCTCTATCTGTAAGCCAGAGGCCAGGTTACAGTGAGGCAGTAGGCGAGTGTCCAGGTAAGGTGGTGGCATGGGCCAGGGCGGGGCTGACATGGTTATCAAATCTGGCTGCAGTCCTGGCTTTCTCACTCAGTTGTGACCAACTAATTTTGACAAGCTGATTGGTCATGTTAAGAGTAGTTTCCTCATCTGTCAGATACCTTCCTCTGCACACAGCTGAACTGCATTTCCCAGCCTCAGAATTGCAGTCAGAATCTTTGGTTAACTTTTCTCCAGGGTACTGTGAACAGAAGTGTAAAAGCCACATGTCACTGGGCTTTTCTTTGACAATGGCTAGATGCAAAAGAACCAGGCACAAGTAGTGGGAAAGTCCTCACTTGGAAGGAACCTGGGTCCACATCACTGGGAAGCTAACTGCCCACCACCCCAAGCCCTGCCCTGGGTTGTTACGAGAACAGGAAGTGCATTTACGTTGTTGAGCCACTGTATCTGGGACTAGTTTAGTGAATGGTTCAGTGAACTGGGGTTGGACAAGTATATAAAAGTTGAGTTTAATGCAGGAAAGTGTTATGTAAATGAAAAAATATATATGGTGGACGTTTTCCAAAGTACATGCAATGTGTGTCTCCTAAAGTTACTTGCAAGGACCTCCAGGAAATTCCCTTCCCAATTGTTCAGTTCTACAAATTGGACTTTGTGAGTTTAACATCTGTTGTATGCTTTCCATCACTATAACAAAGTGCCTGAGAAAAGTTGCCTTATAAAGGGGAAGGCTTCTTTGGCTCACATTTTCAGAGGTGTCAGTTCATGATCATGGTTCTGCTGCTTTGGTGGGAAAGCAGTAGAGCAAAGCCCTCACTTCACAAGCCTAAGGAGCACGGACCAGTCAGATGCTGCTGTCCCTGTGAAGGTGGCTCGCAAGGGCCTGCATAAGTCACAAGACTCTAGAGTTCACCTGGCACCAAGCCTTGGACACAGGAGTATTTGGGGGACTTACCCCTAAAGCACAGTGTCCTTTAAGACCGCCCTTGCAGTGTAATCTCTGAATATCCTTATGCTTGAATAGCACACAGAATGCAATATCTTACTGAACCCTCACATCTTATAACCAAAAAGAGTCAGTTTCAGCCAGCCATGGTAACACACTTGCAATACCAGCACTTCAGGAGGCTGAGGCAGGAGGATCACGGTCACAACTTAGTGACTTGGCAGAACCCTGTCTCAACATTTAAATGTTTAAAGCAGCATTGGGAATATAGCACAGCATCAAGGCCTTGGTTCAATTCTCGATACTGAAAAGGGCAGTTTCCCCATTTCACAGATGAAGAAAGGCTCAAAAAGGTCAAATGAGTTGTCCAAAAGCCATACGGCCTATTAAGTCAGAAAAGCTACATAAGCACCTAGCCTTACAGGCAAAGTGCCTAAGGAGCCCCGACAAGCCAAGATGTTGGCTGCAGATGCGGAAGAGTGACGGGGGCACTTGGACCACGTTCTGCACCTGCCAGGAGTCAGGCTCATTGTGCAGAATTTGCCCCAGTAGGAGCGCTCTGCTCTGACCAAGAGCAATTCCTTTTATGAGGAGCCCTTCTGCCCAGCCGGATCCTGAGCCCCGTAGACGGTGGACAGATACCAGTATTCATGCTAGACTTGTAAGAACTGGTTTTACAAAACCACATATAAGAAAAATCACAACTACATGCTGTACTAATCACATAGATATTTTTCAAAAGTGCAATTCTGTTAAGTACCAGAAATGAGATGGCTCACAGATTTTATCCTACGTGTTCTGTTTGAGACCCCATCTCAAAAAGTAAGAAGGAGTGGAGATGTAGTCAGCGGTACAGTGCCCCTGGCTGAATCCCCAGTACCCCGGAAAGGAAGAGTCACTTACTACCTGGGCTGCTGGGATTAGAGTCTCTGGGAGAGGACACCAGCTTCCTGGGTAACCTGACAAGAGGCTTTTTGGTTCCAGTTTGAATTGTTATTTTTGTCCAGTTGGCATGCTTGGAGCATTGCTTCTGCATTGAGATGATTTTTAAATTGCAAATACAGAGTTAACTTTCTTTGCTTTCAGCTGCTGGCACTGAGATAATATTGCCATTTAAGATTACATGAAACTAAGTTGTTCAGCCAGTTCTGAATGGAATGTAAACATGTGTCTGTTAGCTCTGAGACCAAAGGGGGGAAAAGTTCTAGGGCATTTTAAAATCCAAGAGACCACCAGGCTTTTAGAGAAGGAAACAGTAAGTAGGATGAAGAAGATGTAAAGTAGGTACATGTAAGATGTAAAGAAGAAGATATAGGTACAAGGATACATTTTTGGTAATAAGATTATTTTCCCTACGAGTGTACAAAAAGAACTGATAGGCGGTTCAACAATATACTGAAAACTTGTGGAGGATGAGAGTTATGAAGGGAAATTTGTATATTCGGCTATTCTAAATTTTTGCTCTTACTGCTTTTGTTAGGCCTAGGATCTGGGATCTGCTTTATTCTAAATTTCCTTGGTGCCTGAATGTGGTTAGTGAGGCCGTACCACTGACTTTCCATTGCCAATTAACCCCACAACGTGGAATCAGACAATACCAACGACCTAAACAGCCTCTAGTGATGATTGGTTAATGATGTCTTCAAACAAACTCTCCCAAGGACAAAGGAGCTATAAGAAAACAGGAGAGTTAACAAATATCACGATGGAGTCACTTGAGTCAGTGACTGAGTCACTTGCCTTTTGATTGGAGAGGAAAGGTCGGAGCCAGGAGGATGAAAAGAGAAGGTGGTTATGCGTCAGTACCTGATAGTCGTTATCACAAAGTTCTGTGCTAAAACCATAAGTTTGCCGAGTCAACTTAAACATAACAGATTTGTCATTGGAAAACCTATATCTTCTTTGTATTTAAAAGAGAAAAAAAGTCACAGAAAAGAAAAATAAAAATCAAGAGACAAACAATAACAAATCCCAAATAATAACAATATAGTCTTTCAAAACCAGATGATAGGAATTTAACAATTGTGGCTATATTATAATCTTCAAAAAGTTTGCTTAGATTACCAGATATACACATGCAAAATTGATCTAATCATAGAGTATTAACTGTTCATTTCTAAGAACTAATATAATTAGTAGTATTAGCCATCTTATGCATACAAATTTATGGGGGTTTTTTTGTTTTGTTTTTGGTACCGGGGGTCAAACTCATAACCTAGTGCGTGCCAGGCAGGCACTTTTGCCACTGAGCTAAATCCCCCAAATTTATATCTTTTTCATTTTTCCTTCCTTTTTTCTGGCGTTTCTCTGTCCCAGTTTCTTACCTTTGCACAATGTTATTGTAGATTTTGAATCTTATTTGTTCTTTCAGTTTCTTATCCTAGGGAGACATTACAGTATTTACACATGCGAGTTTGACTTATTTCACTTATGAATATTGTCTCAAGTCATGTCCATTTACCCAAAAAAGCCTTACTGTAATCCCTCTCTACAGCTAAGTAGTACTCCGTTGTGTAAAAATACATCTTTTTTTTTTTTATCCATTCCTCATTTGAAGGGCATTTGAGTTGTTTCCAAGATCTAGCTATTACAAATTGTGCTGCTATACACATGGGTGCACATATATCACTGTGCTACAATGTTTTCAGTTCTTCTGGTAAAACGCCCAGAAGCAGGATAAGCTGGGTCAAATGGAATCCCTAAGTCCTAGCTTTTTGAGGAATCTCCATACTGATTTCCACAGTGGCTGCACCAGCCTACACTCCCACCAACAGTGGAGAATACCTTTTCCCCCACGGCACCCCCAGCATTTGTTATTGCTTGATTTAATAGTAGCCATTCTTCCTAGGGTGAGGTAGATTCTCAGTGTTGTTTTAATTCACATTTCTCTGTGACCAGTAATGCTGAGCATTTTTTCATATATTTATTTTCCATTTGAATTTCTTTATCTAGAAGTGTATATTCATCTCAGATGCCCATTTTTGGATTGGGTCTTAGAATTTTGGGGGCCTGAATTTTTTAAATTCTTCATATGTTCTAGATAGAAGTCCTTTGTCTGAGGAAGAGTTGGCTAAAATATTTTCCCAATTCATGGGTTTTCTTTTCACTCTGTTGAAGCTCCTTTGACATGCAAACACTTTAATAAGACAAGATCCCAGTTGTTGATTCTGGAAAGTATTTCCCATGCAGTTTGATTTTTGTTCTTGAATACTCTGCCTACTCCTGTGTCATCAAGATTTCTATCTGCTTTGTCTTCCAGCAGATTTAGTGTTTCTTTTTTAATATTTAGATCTTTGATCCGTTTTGACTTTAGTTTAGTGCTTGGTGATGAGTCTAGTTTTAGTTATTGACATTTGAAGAGCTAGTTTTTCTGGCACCATTTATTAAAGAGACTATCTTCCAGTGAACCTGTTGTGCCCCTTTGCCAAACATGAGGGGACTGAGTGTATTTGTAGTTGTGGCTGTATTTTCTAATCTATGCCATTGATCTTCAGGTCTATTTTTATTCCAGTTTCATGTTGATTTTATCACAGTAGCTTTGTAGTATAATTTCAGGTTGACAATTGTGATGCCTCCTGCCTTGCCTTTGTTGCCCAGAATTGCCTTTGCTAATCTTGGTCTCTTCTGGTTCCAGATGAATTTTAGGAAAGATTTCCCTAGATCTATGAGAAATGATAATGGTATTTTGATTGAAATTGCATTAAATATGTATAACAACTTTGGGAATGGCCATTTTCACAATGTTTCTTCTTT